TGGAAATATGTTTTGCATAATTTCACACATATTTTATATATTGCTTGTCTTTTCAGTGTGTGTGTGTGAGGGGTTGGGAGTGACAGAGAATTTGAAATTCAAAATTTAAAAAGAAAAGAATGTTAGAAATAAATAGTAATTAAAAAAAGAACTACACTGTTCTAACACCTATAGTGTTTTAGTGTTGTGGCTTCTAGGTTTTGGGTAATTCTCATTGTGGCTCTGCAGTATTTGAATTGTTTTTTTCTTCTTGCTCATAATATTTTCTACTTAACTTGGGAACTTTGAAACTTGGCTATGATGTTCCTGTAGATTTTTAATCCTGGGATCTCTTTCAGGTAGTGATCAGTGGATTTTATTTTGCTTCACCCTGTTGTTCTAGAACTTCAGGGAAATTTTCTTTAATTATTTCTTGTAATATATCAAGATTCTTTCTTTGATTGTAACTTTCAGGTAATTAATTCTTATATTGTCTCTCCTCAATCTCTTCTGCAGATCAGTTCTTTTTCTAATGCGATGTTTCACATTCTTTTCTATTTTTTCATTCTTTTGATTTTTTAAAAAAATTACTTTTTGGTGTCTTATCATGTCATTTGCTTACCCTTGTCCAATTCTAGTTTTCAAGGAATTGTTTTCTTCCTTAAGATTTTGGCTATCTTTTCCAGTTGGTTGACTTTCTTTTCACCATTTTCTTGATTTTCTTGAATTGCTTTTATTTTTTTTTTCCTAATTTTTCCTTGATCTCTCTTTTTTGATTTTTGAAGTCCTTTTTGTATTCTTCAAAGAACTCATTTTGGGCTTGTGATCATTTGGCATTGCTCTTTGGGGTAGGAGTAGCTTTTTTCCCCCTTGATTATTTATTTATCTTTAGTTGTCAACATTAACTTCTGTAAGACTTTAGTTTTAAATTTTCTCCTCCTCTCCTCCAAGACTGATAGAAGCTCTACTTATATATTCATATTAAGCATGTTTTCCCATTAGTTATGATGAAAGAACAATTAGGACTAATGGAAGGAGCCATAAGAATGAAGCAATAAAATAAAACAACAAAGGAAAAGGAGAGCAAGTAGTATGCTTCCATCTGCATTCAGACTTATAGTTCTTTCTCTGGATGTAGGAGTAGCTTTTTTAAACTTAACTATCTTCCTCTGAATATGAACCTAGATCTTTTTTATCCCCATAGTGGCTGTCTGTGGTTGGGTTTTTTCTCCTTTTCTTACTCATTTTTATTTTAATTTTGTTTTTAGCAATGTACTATAATTATTATTATAATTAGCTCTAGTCCTGGGATATGGGGAATGGTGCCCCACGCTTCAGGTCTTTCTTACTGTTATTTTCTGAGCTTTGTTGGAGTCTCAACCTTAGCACTCCCAAGTCACTGCTAGGGCCCCCAGCCATACTATGTTGCAAATGTTCTTGCTCTCTGTGGACCCTTCAGCTGCAACCTTCCACTCTCTCCTCTGTCTTGGAACTAAAACCAGGGACTCACCTTCTTCTGTAAGTGCCCACAGCTAGTCGTGTACCTGCTCCCTTGCTCTTGTGTTCTCTGTAGCATGCTCCTCTGCTACACACTCACGAGGTGTGTGCTAGCTCCTTTTAGCAGTCAGTCAGAGCCCTGAACTACATTTGGTCAGCACTGCTGGGCCTGGCATCCCTCAACAGCAGAAAGTGCTTCAGTCTTCCCCTATACAGATGTCTGACCCCCATACTGTGAGGTGAAAGTTCCTGTGGCAGAGGCTGAGGCTGCTTCTCAACCCTGCTGCCCCTAGCATTGGTTGTTGTTTGAGCAGAGACTGCCTGGAGGTGTTTGTACTTCCCTTGGGCCAAACCGCTTTTTCTGGGGTCTTTTCTGAGGTCTTCTCCAGTTGTCCCCTTCCCCCCTATTTTCCTGTAGGGTAAGATAGATTTGCATACCCAATTGAGTCTCTATGTTATTCCCTCTTTGAAGCAACTCTCATGAGAGTAAGGTTCACTCCCTCATTCTCACCTTCCCCCTCTTCCCCTCCGCTGTAAAAGCTTTTTCTTATCTTTTATGTGAGATGATGTACCCCATTCTACCTCTTCCTTTCTCTTTCTCCCAGTACGTTCATCTCTCACCCCTTAATTTTGTTTTTTAGATATCATACCTTCATGTTCAACTCAACCTGTGCCCTCTGTCTCTCTGTCTATGTATGTATACATATGTATTTCCTCCAAACTACCCTAATATTGAGAAAGGTCTCATGAGTTACAAATATCATCTTTCCGTGTAGGAATGTAAACAGTTGAACTTTAATAAGTCTCTTATGATTTTTCTTTTCCTGTTTACCTTTTCATGCTTCTCTTGAGTCTTGTATTTGAAAGTCAAATTTTCTATTCAGATTTTCTTTTCGTCAAGAATACTTGAAAGTCCTCTTTCATTGAATGTCCATTTTTTCCCCTGAAGGATTTTACTCAGTTTTGCTGGGTAGGTGATTCTTGGTTTTAATCCTAGCTCCCTTGACCTCTGGAATATCATATTCCAAGCCCTGTGATCCTTTAATGTAGAAACTTCTAAATCTTGTATTATCCTGATTGTGTTTCCATGATACTTGAATTTTTTCTTTCTGGCTGCTTGCAATGTTTTCTCCTTGACCTGGGAATTCTGGAATTTAGCCATAATATTCTTGGGAGTTTTCTGTTTGGGATCTCTTTCAGGAGGTGATGGGTAGATTCTTTCAATTTCTATTTTACCCTCTGGTTCTAGAATATCTAGTATTTTTCCTTGATTTTTTTATTTTTATTTTTTTGCTTTTGGTGAGGCAGTTGGGTTAAGTGACTTGCCAAGAGTCACACAGCTAGTAAGTGTCAAATGTCTGAGGCTGGATTTGAATTCAGGTCCTCCTGACTTTGAGGCCAGAGCTCTATCCACTGCGTCACCTAGCTGCCCCTTCTTTGATAATTTCTTGAAAGATGATGTCTAGGCTTTTTTTTTGATCATGGCTTTCAGGTAGTCCAGTGATTTTTAAATGATCTCTTGGATCTGTTTTCCAGGTCACTTGTTTTTCTCTGTATATTTTAGAAATGAAGCCCTTTTCAGAGACACTGATTGTAAAAATTCTTTCCCAGTTTTCTACTTTCCTTCCAATTTTGGTTGCATTGGCTTTGTGCAAAAACTTTTCAATTTGATGTAGTGAAAGTTATCCATTTTACATTTAGTAATGTTCTCTATCTCCTGTTTGGTCATGAATTCTTCTGTTCTCCATAAATCCCATAGGTGAACTATTCTTTGGTCTCCCAGTTTGCTTATAGTATCAGCCTTTATATCTAAATCATGAGCCCATCTTGACTTTATTTTGGTATATGGTGTGAGAATTTGGTCTATGCCTAGTTTCTGCCATACTCTTTTCCAGTTTTCCCAGCAGTTTTTGTCAGAGAGTGAGTTCTTATCCCAGAAGCTTCTGGGGTCTTTGAGTTTATCAAATAATAGATTACTATAGTCATTGACTACTGTGTTTTGCATACTTAACCTATTCCACTGATTCATGATTTTTTGCGTCACTCTCATTTCTCTTCCTAGTTTTTCTTGCACTTCTCTTACTTGATTTTCAAAATCCTTTTTGAGCTCTTCCATGGCCTGAGACCAATTCATATTTTTCTTGGAGGCTTTGGATGTAGGAGCTTTGACTTTTGTCTTCTTCTGGTTGTATGTTTTGATCTTTTTTTTCACCAAAGAAAGATTCTGTAGTCTGAGTTTTTTTCTACTTCCTGATCATGTTTCCAGCTAGTTACTTGACTTTTTAACTCTTTGTTAAGGTCAGGCTCTGCTTCCAGTGTGGAGGGTGTACTGTCCCAAGCTTCAGAGTTTTGTGTAACTGTTTTCAATGATACTTCTAGGGACCTGTAAATTTTAAGTTCTTTCAAGGTGATATGATCAAAGGAGAAGTGTTTACTCCTTTCCTGGACTGTGCTCTGGTCTGTGAGTGACCACAGGTGCTCTTTTCTGCCTTGGAACTACGAGGAGGATTCTCTCTCCAATGCCACAACAAACTCCACCAGGCCAGTACTCCTTACTTCAGGACCGCCATCCAGTACTGCAACCCAAATATAAACACAGGCAAAGCAAGAGAGTCCTGCCTCAGCACTAGCAAAGAGATCCCTTCAATCCCCCTCTAATCAGTTGTTTAATCCCCTTATTGTCTGTGGGCCAAGAACTCTGGAGGCAGCTGCACTAGGGCCAGGCTGGACCATGCTCCTCTCTCACCCAGGTCCCACAGACCTTTCCCACTAACCTTCTAAGTTGTCTTTGGAGTTGGTGGGTTGAGAAGTCTGGAAACTGCCACAGCTGCCTGTGATTCAGTCCCCTGAGCCCTGCGGTTTGCTGTCTTTGCCTTCTTGGCCCCTGCTGAACTGCACTCCTCTCCCAGCCTTTCACAACAGAACTTTTCTGTCAAACATCCAGGTTGTCTTGGAAATTTCACTCTGTCTTTTTGTGGGTTCTATTGTTCTAGAATTTATTCAGAATTATTTTTTACAGGTATTTGGGGGAGAGCTTAAGCAATGCTTGTGACTCTGCTCTTTCCTAGTTCTGCTCCTACCTATCTGACCACTCTTTCTTAGTATGCTTTGCTGGATCTTCATCTAAGTCAAGCTCAGGAAGACCCCCTGTAGTCCCACAGGCCTTTGTCCTAGGCCATTTTCTTCCTCCATACTACTTCACTTGGTGATATCATCAGTTCTCATGGATTTAATTATCATCTCTATGCTGATGATTCTCAGATCTACCTAAACTGCTTTGACTTGTCTGCTGACTTCCATACTCCCATTTCCAACTGCGTATTGGACATCTCAAACTAGATATCTTAAACTCAGCATGTCCAAATTTTTTTTTCCTGCTTTTTCTGTTATGTTTTGTTTTTTCTTTTTTTCTCCTTTTTTTTTTGAGTGATAATGCAATAATGGGCATTCTATGTGTTTGTCTACTAACCTGAAGCATTGAATATGATGTATTTTAACTTTTTTTTTTTAATAATTCTTTTCAGAATTCCTTGAAGGAGGAGTTGGCCATGTGGAAATGTTGTTCCGTTGCAATTATTTAGCATTAGTTGGTGGTGGAAAAAAGCCAAAATATCCCCCCAATAAAGGTACAGTAGTCATACATTTAAGAAGTTTTTACATCATATAATACTGTTGTAGCTAGGTGGTTCAGTGGATAAAGCTCTGGCCTTGCAGTCAGGAAGACCTGAGTTCAAATCAGACCAAACACTAGCTTTGTGACCCTGGGCAAGTCACTTAACCCCAATTGTCTATAAAATAAAATGAGCTACACATTATGTCAGTGTGGGAATGAATTGTTAACTTGTAATTTCTTTTCCTAGAGATAGTAAAGAAACGAGATACTTTTCTTTTTTTCTAGCTGTTTTATACCCCATGGATGAGAAGATTAAAATTAATCCTATATACTTTTCTACTTTATCTTATTTATCAGTAATTAATTTTGCCCCGTAACTGCTTTTGTTCTTAACTGCTTTAAGTCATTGCTGTCTGTCTCTGAACTTATTTTAGAGTTCAGATGGCCTATATTGGGTTAAATTTTAAAATCCATCTGTTCTTAGCTCAGAGAATTCTGCTAACTTTGGGAAATGTGTGTGAACAGAAAGGGAATGGGGTCTGATGTCTTTACCCCACCAAGCTGTCCTTCAAGATAGCTTTTCATGTGCTTGACTTGTGCCTTTGTTTTTTTTTAAACAAAAGTTTGAGGAATCCTTTTTTTTTCTTCATATGTCCTTTATTTTTAGTTTGTACATTTATAAAAGTCAATGACTTAGTTATTCATTCTTTTTTTTATATAAATTTATTTATTTTTAGTTTTCAACATTCACTTCCACAGATTTTTGAGTTCCAAATTTTCACCACATCTCACCCCTCCCCCCACCCCAAGATGGCATGCATTCTGAATATCCCTTCCCTTAGTCTGTCCTCTCTTCTATCCCCCTCCCTTCTTTTATCTCCTTCCCCTTCTATTTTCCTGTAGGGCAGGATAGACTTCTGTACCCCATTTCCTGTATTTCTTACTTCCCAGTAGTGTGTGAAAACATTTTAAACATATGTTTTTAAAACTTTAGGTTTCAGATTTTCTTTCTTCCTCCCTCCCTATCTGCCCTCATTGAAAAGGCAAGCAACTCAATATAGGTTGTACATGCGCAGTTATGCAAAACACTTCCATAGTAGACATGTTGTGAAAAACTAACTGTATTTCCCTTAATCCTATCCTGCCCTCCCATTTATTCTTTCTTTTGACTCTGTCCCTTCTCAGAAGTATTTACTTCTGATTATACCCTTTCCCAGTCTGCCCTTATCTCTATCATCCCCCTGCTCTCTTGTCCCCTTCTCCCCCTATTTTCCTATAGGGTAAGACAGATTTCCATACCCAATTGAATGTGTGTATTATTCCCTCCTTAAGCCAAATCCTATGAGAATAAAATTCACTCATTCCCTCTTACCTTCCCCCGTTTCCGCTCCATTGTAAGAGCCTTTTCTTTCTTTCTTTTTTTTTTTTACGTGAGATAATTTATCCTTGAGGAATCCTTTTTTAAAAAAACAAAATAGGGGGCAGCTAGGTGGTGCAGTGGATAGAGCACCGGCTCTGGAGTCAGGAGGACCTCTGTTCAAAATCTGGCTTCAGACACTTGACACTCACTACCTGTGTGACCCTGGGCAAGTCACTTAACCCAATTTACCTAGCCAAAAAAAAAATTAGTAAAATAATTAATAGCCATATGTAAGTAAAAAAAAGGCAGCTTAACTTGGTGAGTTTTTTCATGGACATAAAAAGTTTCAACTTAAGTGATAATTTAGATTTGTAACAATGAATATCAGGTTTTAGTGAACATAACAGATAAGCTTTAAATTCTGTATTTAGTTCAGTTTAGATATGGAGTAGAGGGGGAAAGAGGAATTTGGAGGAAGAGAGGGTAAATCAGAGAAAGAGAGAGAAAGAGAGAATCAAAGATGTGAGAAAGAGAAATAGAGATGCATGAACACAGGAGCATAGACCAGATGAGTGATATTGAAGTTATATTGTCTAGTTTATATTCTACTCTTAATTTCTTCTGTGTACTTCAGAATGTTATCACTGTCCCACTGTCCTTTGAATTTTTTTTTTTTGGTTAGCTGTTTAACTGCTGTTCACAGCTATTCAGTTACGCTTTTAAACCCTTGGAGGTTTATTCTGAATCAAGATAGCCCTAGCATTCTCTTCCTTGGGTTGCTCCCATACCTGAATGGAATGAAGCTGAGTGGCTGGGTTCCTTGTTATTAATTTTAAGCTGTATTCAGAATTTGGTACAGGTTGTTTTTTTCTTTTTTTTGGCAATTAGAGTTAAGTGACTTGCCCAGAGTCACACAGCTATTAAGTGTCAAGTGTTTGGTCTGAGGCTGAAGAACTCAGGTCCTCCTGATTTCAGGGCTGGTGCTCTACTGTTTACTGCGCCAGCTAACTGCCCTCAGTTCTTTGAATTTGAATGCATTTAGATGTCATTCCACTTGTCCCGCTTTATAATGTAAAATAACATGGAAACAAAATGATGTAAAGTTATATAGCTCCATCATTCTGTACCTATATGTGGACCATATAATGGAGAAAAGAAAAATATTACTCAATTGACTTACCATTTGCATTGGAGAGTTACTGGACCAAGCTGATTAGAAGCCGTGGGAATTGGAAATGAGCAAAAGAAATAAAATCATGACAAGGAGGAGCAAATATGGATTTTCATTAAATTGTGAGTTATATGGACTGCGAAGATCCAGGGGAGAAACCCTAAGTTCTTAACCCTTTATGGGGGCTCTCAACCCTAGGTTGTTGCTATACATTTGTAGTACTGTATAGGTTTATAGGAAATGGAGGAGAGTGTTATTTGGTTCCTTAGCAACCCATGCTCTATCCTGTCATGAGAAGGACTTACTGTGGTAGCCTGGAGGGCTGTGTAAATACCAAGTGGAAGGCAGAGGCTTAGTATAGAGGGAAAATGGAAGTGTCTTGACTATTTATGGGCTCAGGTCTGAGTCTTTGTGTTTTTTGGTTGAGCCCGGGAGAAGAGGATTCATCAAAGAGTTCAATCCATGTTCAGGAGATAAAGGAGGAATTTTGTTCTTCCTGGGACTCTGAGACACACTTATTATGTTACTAATGTTGCAACATAATTAAAACATTTGCTAGTTTTAAGTGTAAGAGGCAATATAATGGTCCACAGGGCTCCCTCCTCTGTGTCTTTAGGAAGTTTATTTTAGACATTAAGATTTAAATATAGTTACAACACTTGAGACCTTCAGTTAGAGAAATATGTACTATTTTAGGCAGAGGTTTGGTTCTCTCCCTTAAGTTATTTTTTTATTTTTATTTTATTTTATTTTTCCGCTTTTTGATGAGGCAATCAGGGTTAAGTGACTTGCCTAGGGTCACACAGCTAGTAAGTGCCATGTGTCTGAGACTGGATTTGAATTCAGGTCTTCCTGACTCCAAGGCCAGAGCTCTGTCCACTGTGCCACCTAGCTGGTTTGGCATTCATAAATAATCTTATGAAACATGGCCAATTATAACAATACAATTATTGATAAGATGTTTCTGACATTTCAGTGATGATATGGGATGATCTTAAAAAGAAGACGGTTATTGAAATAGAATTTTCTACAGAAGTCAAAGCAGTCAAACTGCGACGAGACAGGTAGGCTTAGTATGCATTTTAAAATAGAATGAAACATTTGCTCTCTATGAAGACAGCTGAAATATTTATATATGAGGAAGGAAAAATTGTAAAAAATCCTTGTTAACTATTAATTAAATATCCAGTTATAGTTTAAGGCTCTGAGAGACTATATACAAATGTCTTTACTATGGTATTTCATGGAAAGTGCTGTGATATTCAGCAATAATTTTGGAGGACAGTGATTGATGAATCTCTAAGTATGATAAGTGTAAGTAATTGTTTCAGATTAAAGGTAAAGAAAAATATAAAAAGTATTTGTTAGGAATGAATTCTTGAGTCTCACAAATGAGTCAAAATTTAAGCAGTAAAAACCTTGAATAATACTGTAACATAGCTAGAGTTTAGAATGTGGTAGTTTTTATAAGTATGGTGAACAAGAGACGTGATGAAACTTTGTTTATTTATAAATTCCACGAATTTCTTATTAATTTCACATATGGGCTAAGTTTATCTATATAGTTTCTTTTAGAGGTGGGGTAGCAAAGTTGCTAATCTAGTTACTGTAAATGTTAACATTAAATAAAGGAATTATTTTACTTATGTTACAGTGAAGGTGAATAGTTTACTATAATAAAATAAATATTAAGTTGTTTTGTCAAAAAATCTTGCTAGAATACTATTTTGTGTCTTTTTTCTTTCATGTGGTTTTTGCCTTTTCTATTTCCTCTTTCACAACATGACTAATGTGGAAATATGTTTAATATGATTCTACATGCATAGCCTGTATCAGATTGCAAGCCATCCTAGGGAGGGGGGATGTAAGGGAGGGGAGAATATTTAGAACTCAAAATCTTATAAAAATGAATGCTGAAAACTCAAAGTAAATAAATTAATTAAAAAGAAATCTTGCTAGATAAGGGCTGTTGTGATGATAAATTATTTTTAGTCTCTGTAAGCATTCAAAAGATATATATGTGTATGTATATATGTCTGAATTTTAAAGAAATATGCATATATGAGTTTAAAAGATATAGTATGTATAAATATGAATACATATGCTCTTCTCTCTTTTTCTCTCCTCCCTCCTCTTTAATCTGAAATGATTTTCATACACTTTAGAGCAGAATCAGTTATTGTCCTCAAAGATTGTTGCTGAAAACCACAGTGTTTTCCATGAAACATGATTAACAAGATATAGCTGTCCAGATGTGTGTATGTGTGTGTGTGTATAAATATATACACACAGAGATATCCGTGTGAATATGTAATACATATAACTATGCATATTTGTACAGTTTATGTCCATATCTATACAAATATGTAGATGTAACAATACACAGATATATATCTACACACAGACTTTTATAGGAACCTTAATAGCTGAAGATGTATGTATATGTGTGTGTGTGTGTGTGTGTGTTTGTGTGTGCGTGTATTTTTGTATATCATGTATGTATATATGTATCTAACTATCTCTGTTAGGATTAGTGTATGGATGGAATTTTAAAGTAATCGAATGACATTTTTTGGAAAAATTTCCTATGACTAAATCAGTCTGCCCAGAAGACTTGGTGAGATTTTATTCTAACTCAGGATTTTTTCTTTTAATACATATTCTGTGTGGGTGATGTGTTTGAATTTGAAAGAGATAAACCCAAGAATTGACTCTTTGACTCAAGTTTAATTTTTGAAGAAGAAATTGGGTAATGTTTTTTGTTTCAGAATTGTGGTGGTTTTGGACTCCATGATTAAAGTTTTTACTTTCACACATAATCCCCATCAGTTGCATGTCTTTGAAACCTGCTACAACCCTAAGGGTAAGTTGTGTGTTCTATATAATGAATGATGCCTTTTATAATTAGCTGAATATTTGTGTGCATAAGTGTTTGACCATATTACTTCCCTACTAATTAAACTTTAGTGGCTCCACGATACCTCCAGGGTTAAACATAAAGCCCTCTGACAGTTAAAGCACTCCGTAAGCTAGACTTGCTGTCTTTCCAGCCTTCTTACACTTTCTTCAGTGCACGCTGTAATCCAGTAATACTGACTTACTTGTTTTTGCCCACATGAGACATTCCAGCTGCTGTCTCCAGAACTTTCCCTGGGCCATCCCTCATACCTGAAATTCTCTTCTTTTTTTAATCCCTGCCTCTTAGTTTTTCCAATTTCCTTCAATAATTTAGTTGAAATGTCACTTTCTAAAGGGAGGCCTTTCTTGGGCTTTCCAAATCCTAATGTCTTCTCTGAGATTATCTCTTGTGTACTCTGTATGTTTCTAGTTATTTTTCTGTTGTGTCACCCATGTATTTGGAACATTTTTTTCATATGGTTATTGATAGCATGGATTTTTTCCCCTTAGAATATTGAATATTAGAACATTCTCATTCTTTGGCTGTTTATCAATTTGAGTCAGTTACTTGTATATTTTAAAAATAAGACTCTTATCAGAGAAACTTGATGTAGATTTTTAACCTTCCTTTCTAATTTTAAGCTTTGTTAGTTTTGTTTGTACAGAAATTTAAAAATTTTATATATTCAAAATTCTTTATCTTTTTTGATCCTTTCTACCCCTTCCTTAGTAATAAACACTTTCCCTATGAATAGAACTGAAAGGCAGTTTTTTCTTGCTCCTCTAATTTGTTTAGGATGTCACTCTTTATGGCTAATTAATGCATTCATTTGGAGCTTATCTTGTTATACAGTGTGAGATGTTGGTTTATACAAAATTTCTGCCAGACTGCTTTCCAGTTTTCTCAGCAGGTTTTGTCAAATAATGAAGTCTTATCCAGTAGCTGGGATCTTGGGTTTATCCTATACTAATCTACTGTGTTTGTTTACTTTTGTATTTTATGTACCATAATCTATTCTGCTGATCAACCTCTCGTTCCTAACCAGTAACAAATTGTTTTGATAATTACTGCTTTGTAGTATTGTTTGAGATCTGGTATTTCTAGACACCCTTTACAAATTATTTCCTATAAGGTTTTTGACTTTTTGTTCTTTATTTTTTCTAGCTCTCTAAAGTAATCCTCTATTTGTTTGATTGATATAGTACTGAATAAGTGAATTAATTTAGATAGTATTGTCAATGTTATTATATTGGATTCTTTTGTCCATGGATAATTAATATTTGTTCCATTATTTAAATTTGCCTTTATGTAAAGAGTGTTTTGTAAACATATTCATATAATTCCTTTGACAGGCCTGGCAGAAAGGCCTCCAAGTATTTTGTACATTGTTTAGTTATTATAAAAGGAATTTCTCTTTCTGTTTCTTCCTGTTGGCTTTTGTTGGTTGAATTGACCTAAGTTGAGTAGGTCATAGAGCCACTATGTGTCAGGGGTAGAGTATGAATCTAGGTCTTTATGATAAAGAGGCCATCTCTCTATCCACTATCCTATACTGCCTCTTTTCAAAATCATTCTGTCAAAAAGTATTAAGCTCTTATTATGTGCCAGGCACTGTGCTAAGAATTTGAGGGCATAAAGAAAAGTAGTAACAATCTGCCCCTGATCCCATACGTTCTAGTGAGGGAGACAATATAAAAACAACTTGATACATATATAAGATACACAGTAGCTGGCAGGTGATTTCAGAGGGGAAGGCACTAATATCTGGAGAGATCAGGAAAGGCCTCCTTTTGAAGATAGCATTTTAGCTGAATCGTGATGGAAGCTAGAGAAACTATGAAGTGGAAGAGAAGAGGAAAATCCTTCCTGGCATGGTCAGTATAAAGGCACATAGGCAGGTCAATAAGCATTTATCAAGTACCTGCTATTTGCCAGGTGCTGTACTAATACAAAGAAAGGCAAAAACAGACCCAGTTCTCAAGGAGTTCAGAGTCTAATTGGGGAGACAGCATGCACGTAATTATATATAGAAAAGATATAAATATACAACATTTATGTACACAATACATAATTATGTAATATATAATTATACATATTAATGTACTGCTGCTATGCATAAGTAAATTTCCTTTTGTAAATTGTTGAATAATTGCCAGATATCTCATTTTGTTACAGTATCAAGCTTAAATTGGCACAGCCTGGATTGGGTAACTACTACACTGGATGACAGGCATCAAAAGGATCTTAATAGACTGGAGCACTTGACTGAATTTAGTGAGATGAAATTTATCAGGAATATATGTAAAGTCTTACACTCAGGTACAAAAAAAAAATCAACTTCACAAATATGAGCTCTTGTAGGCATGAATAGATGGCAGTTTTGAAAAAGTTCTGGGGATTTTAGTGGCTTGCAAGCTCAATAGGAACCAGTAATGTGATGTGGCAACCAAAATAGTCCATGTGATCTTTGACTGTGTTAAGAAGGCCATACCTTCCAGGAATAGGCATTTGATGCTGTACTCTGCCCTCATCAGACCTTGATAATGTTATCACTTTCATAACTGTGTTCATTTCTGGACACCTCAGTTTAAGAATGTCATTGATAAGCTGGAAAATGTCCAGAGGAAGGCATCCAGAATAGTGAGAAGGGCCTTGAATCCCTATCATATTAGGATTGATCAGAGGAACTGGGTATATTTAAAATCTAGATGAAAGATGTCTTGAGATGTCATGATTGCTGGCTTAAAATATTTGAAAGTATGTAATTTTGAAGTTGCAAAGAGACCAGTTTAGGTTTGATAACAGGAAAAATGTCCTAACAATTAGAAATGGCCAGAAGTGGTATGGGTTGCTTTGAAAGGTGGTTTTTCCCCTCTTTGGAAGTCCTTAAGCTGAGATTGAATGACCACTTTTTAAGTATTAGTTATAATAAATTGGACTACGTGGCCATTGAGGTTACTTCTGTATCTTTAATTTAATTCTTTACTTCTCTGCTGTATAAAATTAAAAGCTTTCAATAAAATTTTATTTTAAAAAATTAGGATATTGGCTTTAGTTATGCAATTCCTCCCCTGTTCTCAACTGTCTTTGAAATATCATTAACAGTGGTTCAGTAGTATATCTGCTGATCATTTCAGTGCCTTAGGGTGTTGTTCATTTGGGCGAGGTGTCCTGAATTCTTCCAGAGTAGCTGAGTGCTCTCTTATTATATCATTTTAATTATTTCAGGTATCCCCTCCTTCAGCCATTCTATTCTTTCCTGACTATAGGTTCTTCTCATTGATATAGAAAAGCAAGTAGCAAGTAAATAGCTTTTCTTTCTGTCTTGTCAGTTATATCATCCTATTAAGTCATGTGTTATCTTTGATGTACCACATTACCCAATAACCTTTTATTATCTTTAGCTTTCCTTGCCAGCCTTAGTTAGCTCTTTCTGAGCTTTGGCAGTCCTTATGGTATTTCTTACAGTATTATTCCACTGTTTTATAGCCATCCTTTGTTACATCCTGTTGCATGCATTTTCTGTATTTAATTTTTTAAAAACCCAGGTGGTTGTGGTTTTTTTATTAATTTATTTTGATTTATCAATAATCACTTCCATATGCTTTTGAGTTTAAAATTTTTCTCCCCCTTCCACCCCATCACCCCCTCCCCCAAGACGGTGCACAATCTGATATAGGCTATACTTTTACATTCCTATTAAACATATTTTCACATTAGTGATGTTGTAAGTAAAAATTAGAACCAATAGGAGGAACCATCAAAAGAGGCAACAAAACTCAACAGAAAAGAAAAAAAAATAGCAATTCAACTTCCATAGTTCTTTCTTTGGATGTGGATAGCGTTTTCCATCACGAGGCCTCTGGAGATGTCTTAGATCCTTCTATTGCTAGGAAGGGTTAAGTTTATCAATATTAGTCGTCGCATAACGTGGCTGTTATTGTGTATAACGTTCTCTTGGTTCTGCTCACTTCACTCAGCATCAGACTATACAAGTCTAATCTTGGTTGCATTGGCTTTGTTTGTGCAAAAACTTTTCAATTTAATGTAATCAAAATTATCCATTTTGCTTTTTGTAATGTTCTCTTATCTCCTGTTTGGTCATGAATTCTTCTGTTCTCCATAGATCTGATAGGTAAACTATTCCTTAACCTCCCAGTTTGCTTGTAGTATCAGCCTTTACATCTAAATCATGAACCCATTTTGACTTTATTTTGGTATATGGTGTGAGATTTTGGTCTATGCCTAGTTTTCTGCCATACTCTTTTCCAGTTTTCCAGTTTTCCCAGCAGTTTGTTTCAAAGAGTGGGTTCTTATCCCAGAAGCTGGGGTCTTTGGGTTTATCAAATAATAGAGTACTATAGTCATTGACTACTGTGTCTCACATATTTAACCTATTCCACTGATCCACCACTCTATTTCTTAGCGGTACCAAGCAGTTTTGATGATTGCTGCTTTATATCACATTTTAAGATCTGGAATGGCTAGGCCACCTTCTCCTGCATTTGTTTTCATTAGTTCCCTTGCTATTCTGGACCTTTTGTCCTTCCAAATGAATTCTTCTGTAGAATTATAGAATCCTACTTATTCTTTTTTATCTTTGAAATCTGCTTTCCTGAAATCCAGACTATGACTGAATTTCTTCTACTCTGTCACAAAGTCTAGGAGGAACTTCCTCCTAGGATTATCACATCCACCCTAACTACAAACTCTTCCCTGTAGGTAATACTGAGATCCAACATTAATTACCTACCCCTTGTTGGTTATTTCACCTTTTGACAATAAGATTTTCATTAAAATGAGTGAAGAAGTTTTTTGTTTTGTTTTTGGCAGGGAGAATGGTCTAGCATTGTCTTTATAATCAAAGTCCATCAACACAGTGCCATTCCTATGTACTAGACTTGTGATTTGTTTCCCCAGACTCCTTATCTGTTTCTTCTTTCTGAATAGGTGGTCTTCAGCTATTAACTAAATCTTAGGATAACTAAATCAATTGTGTTTCTCATTCCATTGATCTTTTTTCTTTATGTACATACATATATACATACACACACATATAGAGTAAAACATTCTGAACAAACAACAATAAAATGGGCATTGTCATATAAGGGATTGGGCATGAAAGAGTATATTATGTAGTGATTGCTTTTTTTTAAAAAATGTACATGAAATCATCATGAAATAATATAATACATCAAAGCTGTCTTGCTTGTCTATGATTTCTTTTGGCCTTCTTTCTATTCTTCCTTCCATTGATCTTCACTGAACACATTCTCATGATGGTTCCTGGATTTTCTCACACTTATAAAAAGCAAAATGTCTTTTTAAGAACTTTGAAACTTAAAAACATAACAAACATGAATATGTTAATATTAAAAAGCAAACTTTCAGGCCAAGTGACCAACAAGATTGAGGAATACATTTTTTCTGATCCTCATCACTTATCAAACCTACTCAGAATAAGGATTTTGTCCAAGAGGTAAGAAAATTGCAATATTAAGGATAGAACACTAAGAACCCTAATGAGATAAATCTGATGACTTATCAAAGAAGGTTAATACCTAATCCCTAATACATTTACCTAACCCTTCTTCCTGCACCAAAACCCGTACTTTGGCAGGGCTACATAATAAGACCCATGGTTTCCCTTGTTGCTACTGTAGTCTCTGCCAGAACACCCACCTGCCCTGAACCCACCATCCTGTGGCTTCAAATAACAGAATTCAACTCTTCCTCACCCCTATTCCTACCTGTGTAAAGGAGGTGGAGATATAGAAAAGCAGAAACTTGATCTGCCTTTGCTGCAGCAGTGCTCAGCCACAGAACTAAATTAACCAGGGAAGGGCACTAGTTTAGGATGGAAAAACCAGAAAAGAAAGGGAGAAATCTCAGTGCAGTTACACAGGACTGAGTTCCTACTAAAAACATTCCCTGTGAAGGGAAAGAGTTATTCTGTAGTGGGAGATGAGGACCTTTACAGTGGTATAACCTTTAGAGATTTTGTACTTAGAAAGAACTCAGTTCTACTTTGGAAGTAGAATTAGAGTTCCAAGGGGCAAATGAAATCCATAATGTTGGGAGGGCATAGCTCCAAAGGGGAGATTTCATGGCATATGGGAAAAAATGATCATGAGGAAGGCAGGGGTTATTAACTACATTCAGGGACATAAGAAAATTTTTTACCAGATGGTAGTACTTATGTCCTCTCTGTCTTCTTGTTGGAATAGATACTTTTACGAGTAAGATAACAGAAGAAAGAAAGGAACAAAATCTATAAGGTAATAACAGACATTTATTAGAGAAGGGAACTCAAAATAGGTACCTTAGAAGCTTTAGTTCTATGAGTAATATGGAGATTAAAGAAAGAATAAGAGGCATGAAGACTCTGAATAAAAAAATAAAAACCTAGAATAGGCAAGATAGATGATCAGTGAAGAGATAAGAGACAGAAATGCTTTTTAGAAAAATGTAGAAATTTTTCAAAAAGCAAAAGAAGTTGAAGGGAACCTCACTCATCAGAATTAGTTCAAAGAAAGAATGCTATCTTATATACACATAGTTGTGGATAGAAATGTAATTTACCACATAGGGAAATAGGAGGGGGAGAGGAGAGGAGGTTACAAATGAGAGTGTGGATCATGGGAGGCAGTGGTTAGAAGCAAAATAGACTTTAAAAAAATGATGGAATAAAAAAGGCATTTCCAAACATAGTACAATAAAAAAGATGATTGCACATGAAACTGCAGATCTACAATGCACAACTTGCTATTCCTTTCAAATATACAACAAAATTAATCATGTAAATTCCTTTTTCTTTTTTTCCTCCCCTGCTGTCCACCCTACAGATGGCTATCATTAGACAGAAATGTGTGTGTATGTAAAATTATTCTATATATCTGTTTGTTAATTCTTTCTTTGGATGCAGATAGTGTCTTCCTATGTCCTTTATAGTTAATTTGGATATTTATAATAGTCCAAATAACTTACATGCTGCAAGTCATTTTTAAAATGATGTCACTATATACAGTGTTCTCTTGGTTCTGCTCATTTCACGCTCCATTATTTTGTGCAAGTCTTTCCATATTTTTCTAAGATCATCAAGCTCATTATTTCTTATATTAAGCACAGTAGTATTCTATCAGAATCATATGCTACAGGATAAAAAAAGAGAGAGAGGAAGAAAGAGAAGGTAGTGTGTTGGAGATAATCAGAGAAACTATATTTTGCCAGAGGTGGATAGGAGTGTTGAGCCTGGAGATAGAAGGACTAATCTTTCTGACTTCAAATCTGTCCTCAGACACTTAGCAGCTGTGTGACCC